CAAGGAAAATTCATAAAAAATTAATAAACAATTTGTCGAGATATTTCAAGGAAAAATACTTTTGTGAAATTACTCATTCTTTCGTGGTTCACTTGACATGCAAAGACGACTTATCAATTTTTTTTTCAGCTCACGAACACATGAATATGAATCACATGGGAGTCTCGGGAATAATTGGAATCCTCTTGGTAGTCTCTCTTATCGCTGGACTGGCAGGCTGGGCTGCCTATGCTTATCGCAATCCTCACAGCGCATCAGGTCAAATGTTAATCAGAGTGAGTAAATTAAATTATTGGTAAAAATACATTGTCGGTTTTGAATTATCATTAAAAAAATCATTCTCTTTTCTGCTGCATCCGAAGATGAGAGCTGTATGTTTCATTTAATTACCTCATTTCGATAAGATATACAATATTCAGATATTACATAAGCAATAATTTCGCTCTACTCCTCACATAAGTATTCAACTCAATTAAAAATATTTATTATTTTTAATCAATTAATTGAGTGAATCAGAAAATAATTAACGATTTTTAATGAAAATCAAAGCGATGGAAAATTCATTCTTTTCTGGTTTTTGAGGATGAAAAAAAATTTAGAAAAAAATGAATTTCGCGTGTGTAATGCACATATTAATTAGGGAAAGTGTAGACTGATTTTGCTCATGTCATTTTTGAATGAAGTGCATAGAGGGGGGGTATTAAAACAGTCTTTGATATTTTTTAGTACCGTCCAAGTCAATGGAACTGGCGACGAGGTGAGGCTCGTTACACAGCTGCAACAATTCACATGTGATGAGATAATAGCCGATAACAGTCAACCTTGACACTGTCGGACCAGGAGTTCTTTCCCCTGTCACCTTTTTGAAAAAGATAAAAAAAAATTATATCACGAGGCCGATAAGAGATCTTTATTACTCCTAAGTTGCGCCCTTGCTGCACTGATGCATCACTTCCAGAATTTCTGGATCTTTCAGCTGGAAAATTCAGAGAATAAATCGATTTTCTTTATTCTATCAATGGACCAATTATGTGATATCGTACGGCAATGCAATCGTAAATCTGTAAATCTGTTTTCCATTTTGACGAAATTCGTTATTTTTCAAATATGATGTGAATTAAACATGAAAAATCTTTCGAGATAAAGATTTATTGTATATTTCAAAAAATAGTAATGTTTTACTAGATAAATTCTTGAATCTAGTTGTGAAAGATATCACGACGAATTTCTATTGATTTTGGTATTTTTTTCGAAATTTATCATTGAGATAATTCAGTTGTAAAGAATTTCTTGAAATTTGAATTATGTTGGAACTTAATGGCAGCTTGAACTCCTAGACTCACCTGAAAAATAAAAAATTCAATTGTATCGAATTTTTACCAGTTAAATTCAGAGGAATTAACTTTCAATAATTTTAGAAAATTATAAAAATTAATACCGCAGGATCATCAATCAAAAAAGCCACGAGAATGTTGTGTAATCGTTAATAATTACGAGTGTAATCATTAACACTGCCTTTTTCACGACTGATCCTGAAATCAGAAAAATGTCAAGTGCCTTCGCAGTCAATTACGTGAAAATCATGATAGTTGCATTAGAAGACAATTGAGGTAGCAATAATAACCGGGCGATCGAGTAATCATGTGATTAGCAGGATGTGGTGGACTTTCTTATTTTTTAAGAATACGCGTTTCCTTTTTTTAATCATTGATTAAACAAATTCTTCGCTGTAATTGTTTTAGGTATATAATCTTCTCAATCTGCGGTGAACATTGTAACAATCCTAGGAAGAATACAGTGAATTATTTTTGAGATATTGGATTGAGAAATTTCAGTTGCTAAATGCAGAGAATAAAAACGAGAAGAAGCGAAATGGCACTTCAATTTTGTGAATTTCTCTTGGAAAATTATGTCGGCTTTTGGAATTTCTCAATCGCCAAGGAATGGAGATATATAAACATATCTATTATATTTATGAGTATATATATTTTATGGTGAATTTGCAATCGAGGCAAGCACTCTTAAAGGGGCACACTGGAGGAGATGAGAAAAAATATATATATTATGGAAATTCATATGATCTGACAGTACTGATCGGTTATAAACTCTATTTTTTTGTGTGTACATAGTAGATTAATTTCAATGATTATTTTTACATAACTTTTAAGTGGAATATACAATACTGTCATCAGGTGCCTTTTCTGGAGGAAAATCACTCGTGGATTTTTCCATTGATTCGATGGAACGAGAGTTCGATTGACAATTGAATGAAAAAAACCGTCAAGTGCTCATTTCTTACCAGTTCTCTGTCATTTTATTGGTATCGATTTAATTTCACAATCATGTATTTTGATGCACGGTGCAATTTTTGGTCATTGAAAATGTATACATATATCTGGAAAATTTTAAAGTTTATTATAAATGAGTTGGATTATCTTTTTATTATATTTACACTGTACGATTGATTTAATAGTTTGTGATAATAAATATTTCAATTTCAAAGGCTATTTTTATTTTACCCCAAGAGTTTTT